CTTACTAGACCTCTAGATTTATAGCTACGAATAGTGCAATGAAATGGTTCTTTGCAAGGGTGGTGACTCTCCTGTACACGGGGCCTCCATTTAACGTCCTATCCTGTTTTCCACTTGACATAACCTGCGCCTATGAACAAGGGAAGGGGAACGTTAACACACTTCAGTCATCCGCCTGGGTTCGGGTCGAACCCGGGATCTCTCTTCTTAGATCTAGACTAGTCAGTAGACGTGACCTAGATCTATATCTCCATGTTTGCTTCGACAGGCAGACGCTTTACTAACTGAGCAAACTCGCCTCCTGCGTCCTGGCTGTGTATTAAAAGCTGTGCTGTTGATTCTCAACATTTCACACAGCACTGTACAAAACTCAGCTGATTTCACTCAAAATTTGTACTTTACTTAGATCTAGTGACAATTGATGACACCTAGAGGTCTACTACTAGATCTAGGCTACTAGTCTAAAATAGCAGTAAAATACAATTTACAGAAGTTAGAAAGAATAATTAAAAAAATTTAAGCGTGGGCTTACTGTCAAAGTTGCCAATCAGCCACTTCGCATCGTCTTTATTGCGTGCATTCGTTTGTTAGGTGTGTATGGACTATTTGTGGGTGCAATTCTGCCTGTTAAAGTATTAACACGTAGTGCAGTGCTAAATAGCTAAGGTCAATACGCATTAGCATTGACTCTCTATCCTGCCCCCCCCCATTCCGAAAACGGAGGGATACCATGCGTGTTACCAAAATGTCCGGTAACGGGGTACTTTTTGTGCGACAAAGTCCGGCCCGAGAATTCTAAAAAAAGGGGTGTATTTGACTGTATGTACGTAATGCAGGCTAACTTCTTTGGGGTATTCCCTGGGTGTGTGAGCCAACCAGTAATGACAGCTTATCTGAGTAAAGGGGGGGGGGGGGGGGGGTTGGTCTGCTTTTTCTGAGATAGGGGGTTCATTGAGCAGTGTTCCGGATTTAGGGGGGTCTCAAAGGCAGGAAAAGCCCGCATAAGGGGCGTCCAGAAATTTTTGCAGTCCTCAGATAGGGGGTGCTTTCAAAAAAGAGGGAACAAGCATATGTGTACCCTAAATAACACTGAGGGGGGGGGGGGGGGTTCTCTATCAGTCTTAGAAATAACCGTCTGATATGGGTCATTTCTTTAATAAAACTGACATTTGTCGACATTCCCCATACACAGATCGTAACCCAGACGACTCACACAGGGGGGGGGGGGGGGGGGGGATAGATTGAGCCTATTCTGTACCTCTTTTTACTATGAAATCTGCTCCCCCGATTTTCTATATTTAGATCTAATTTTCTGATTTATAAAGCAAATAGAAAAAAAAGCTAGACCCTATGTATATTTTTCTCCTATGCACAGTTATCAAATTTGTTATGACTTATTTTCAAATGTGAAATTTACGGACTTACATGTACAGTACGTGTATGAGTTATCCAATTTTGATTTCAGAACCGTGAAACGGTACCTTCATGCATTCATTCTGGTAATCTATGACATGACCCGGCCAATATATTTCTGGGTCAACCTACCAAAACATAGCCAATGGCCAATCAGAGCACTCGTTTAATATTGGGTTTATGAATATTCATATGTCACTGGGTCAAGACGGGCTGACTCATACGTAGCTATTGGACGTTCAAAAAGAAAAAATGAATATTCATCATCTAAAAACCAGGTGGCTGACAACGAATCATGTCGACTTCGAGACTTTCTCGGATTAATCATTATCCCCTAGCAACGAAGTCGGAGGGGATATAGAAACACTGCCGTCCGTCCTTCCGTGCGTCCGTAACAATTTTGGATTCCGATCAATAACTTCGGTAATGTTTGACGGATTTTAATGAAATTTGATATGAAGGTACATGATATCAAAATACAGGCTAAGTTCAATTTCCGAGTATGTAGGTGAAAGGTGAAAGGTCATATCTCATTAAATATGCAAAAGCACCTAATTATATATGTGAAAATGTGGTTAACTTCCTTGCCTAGTAATATAATAGTATAGTCCAATGGAGTTAACTTGTTCTGATGTACATGTACATGTATATAGGCCATTTGTACCCTGCGAGGGGATGCTACGCTTTGCGTTGACTTGGTAATGTAGGATCTAAATGAGCAAGCTATCGTAAGTCAAAGTAGATATTTCTGTGTTATTTTTTATTTTTGTTAATATAATCAAATGTAATTTTACAGCCAAAGTGAATATACAGTATGAGGATGTAAAGAGTAAAAATCTTGTTGCATATCTCATTCATCCCGGTCCTGCCGAACCAAACCATTTGTTCCACTCAGTCACCATAGGACGTACTTCAGTCTATGTATAGAGGCGGTCAGATGAGCCAGATGCAATTTCAGCAGAACAACCGTCGATATCAGAGACTGAAGCTTTCGGTCTATATCAGTCTATACTTTGCTGGAGTGGTATACTGTAGTAGTAGATCTACTGTCATCCGTTGCTGTTATCCGGACTTGGCTGTCGGATTTAATAAATTTAGAATTGAAAATTCCATTTTTATTTCAAGGGCAGGCTAAGCTGTAAGCAGCCAAAACAACAACTCCTGCAATAAACTGCAAACCCCCAAACAGTGTTTAGATTTCACTAACTCCATGCTATACATGTACATGCTTCAGAGAGCTCCGCCTACGGCCTCCGAAGGGCTTCGGTGACGGAGCTCCCTGGAGTAAAGATTTCACTAGACTTTAGTTAAGTTAGAATTAAAATAGAAATGTAAATAATCTAGAGTCTAGTCGGTAGACAGTAGGAGGACTAGGAGGCAAATTGGCTCAGTCGGTAAAGCGTCTGCCTGTCGGCCCAAAGATCTTGGGTTCGAATCGCACCCAGGCGGATGACTGAAGCAAGCGTTGTGTGTTAACGTGCCCCTCCCCTTGTTGTTTCATAGACGCAGGCTATGTTACATGGAAAACAATCCGTCTCGGATAGGATGTTAAAAGGAGACCCCGTGTACAGGATAGTCACTACCCTTGCACGTTAAGAACCCACGGCACTATTCGTATAAGAATAGGGGAAAACCTGGTGTAGTGGTCTACCTGCACACCCCACTCAGGCCGAATATATATATATATATATATATATACATGAATATACGGCATCTGCAAGAATCTTCAGTACCGGTATTGAAGGATAGGAGGCAGATTATCTTCAAGAAGGAGAAGAAGTATACTGCACTCTGCAGTGTAGTGTAGTCTAGTGCCTAGTCATGCTAGTGGTTTCTAAATTTACTCTAGAGTATTGATCTTTTTTTGGCGCAGTCTTGACTCTATGTCTCTTAGTTTACGTCAAGACTCTGTCTCTACTCTCAGTCTTTAGACTGCAAACATTGTAGCAGTGACTGTTGTTTTCAGTCACTGAGTCTGAATGTGAACCTAGCTATTTTAAGAATAAATTTTCCCCCTCTCTTTTACAGGAAATATACAGAGTGTATTACCATATGCTTGCTTCTTTGAGTATGTGCCTGAAACAAGAATGTCCTGGAGAAAACGGACCACAACAAGAAAAGGTAATTTTTTTTAAATTTTTTTTTTAACTTGGACTTTTTAAAACTTGACCTGTTTAGTTAGTCAAGTAAAAGGAAATTTTTAAATGGGTGAGGGCATTAAATAAGGCCAAGTTGGAGGGGTATGCAAAGGGCTGGTATGAGAAGTATCGATTCAGGGGTGGCTACATGGTATGTGTGCAACAAGATGTCTACTAACAAGTTGCTGTAGTGTTTATTTATAGTGTATTTTAACTTCCAATATATATTTTTTTATAATTAACATTTGAAGGCCTTGAAAAAGGGATGGGGGGAGGGGGGGGGGGGGGAGTCCTATCCTACTATACACGAAACAGAATGACAAGCAAAAAGAAAATAATTGACCTTCATATTTTGCTGAAAAAGAAAGTAAACATTGAAGACAATTGAAGAAAAAAAAATAATGCAATTTTTGTGTATTCTTACATATTTGGTTAATATTTATTGAATATTTTTATAATTCTGTTCCAGAGATGGAGAGGAAGGGCTTGCTGTTGAGAGATCATGGGGTGCCTTGAGGTTCCACTTCCAGTCTTGATGTTCTGCCCCTTACCTCTAAGCGATGGCCTCTTGTGCCTGGCAATATATGAGCGAAGCACAATGGACTGGTAATTCATAATGCATATTACAATGTTTTTTTAACAAATCAGGGAAAGAAACAGAGATAAATTCATAGCATATGAGTCTGTCATGGCATTTTTAGTAACTCAACATTTGCTCCTGCAACGACTACTCTAGGCTTTATTTTGTCAAAGGTGTAGGGTTAGACTGAGGGTTGGAATTGTGATTAAGGTGGTTTAGGTTTAGGGTTAGGCCTAGGGATGAAGTTTAATAGTGTAGAAAAATGATGTGAAGCAATTGTCTCAGGAGAAGGTGTTGTACAACTGGATTTTCCAGGTACTGGTGGAGCTGCATGTATCTTTTACTCATCAATGGTAGTTTTAAAATCTTCCTCTGTATTGTGAAAGCAGAAACATGATGTAGAGTGGAAGAGAAAAAAGTATGTAACACAGTATCATTTAAATAGATTTTATAAAGTAAAAACACACTGGCCTGCAGTTTGTGAAACATGTAGCACTGTATTACCAATTAAAAGAATTCAGCGATTTTTACAACGTGCTCTATTGGCATTTATGTACTGGTTATGTTGTAACACAAAATGAATTCTTAACTTTAATCCTGGATCCATTGCTAAACATAATGTCAACCCTAAATGTATTAAACATTGCCAGACCCAATTTCAGGCTACCCTAAATCCCTTTCTACATACCAGTATTGTTCAAAGTTTATATTTATTACACCCTTACTGCGAGTTCTAGAAATTCTGCAAGAACCCTACCCTGCTGTTTACTTTATAATTAGTACTTCACATTGCTTTCATGAACATGCCGTAAAAGTGAATTTATTTTATGTCTCTATACAAACAGGTGCCTGTACATGTACCGGTAATGTATTTCATGCAAATGAAGGGTAGAATGAGAAGCTCACAATGATATGGTAGACAAGGACCTTGCTGTCTTAAGCTCGGAGGCCAGATGACAGTGTCTGAAGTAAGTCGCCCCATAGAAGAGCGAGAACTTTCTGTTGCAATTGTTAACATGCAACACATCCTTACCACATGCAACCCATCCCACTTTCACAATATATTTTCTTAACAACAGTAACCCAAGTTCAACGTTTGGATTGGTGATTTTAAACAAAAATGGGGGTGGTAGGGCGGTCAGCCTAGCAGTACAAGATCTAATTATGTCATATGGCTGTATCTTGGATGTCCTGGAGGTAGTTGCCCGAGAAGTGTGATAAAGAAAAATATGTTTGCATACTAACAGTAAAAAAAATAAAAATGATTGGACACCTTTGGTTGTAACAACTCAGATCAGAATGAGATTTTTACACTGTAAAGTTGCCGGTGTCAAGTATTTTTGGAATTCAATTCTATGATTTCTCTGTGAATGCCATTTTAAAAACAATGGTCTGAATGTTTAATTAGATCTTTTACGCAAACGTAGTATATTAGTAATGAAAGGCATGTTTGATAATACAGTAATTTCATTTCAGACCATGAAGACCATGTATTATTATAATTATCTGGGATCTGTCGTTGGGCTGATAAGCATGGAAAATAAGGAATGTACTCCGGTCGAGCGAACAATATGTTTTTATAAAACGAATAACTCTTTGAAGATTACTTACTAGAAGAAGTAGAACAAGAAGAAAAAGAAGAAGAAATACACTGATGATGTCAGCTTGACTTCCTAAAGTTGTATACTATTTGAAAATAGTTTATATTTTATTCATGAACAGCCGGCTTGTCAGAATTGCGTACAAGGATGCCATTGGACTTTTCTGTACTAGTAGCTGAAGGGGAGCAGTCACCAGAAGGAGCATGCAACTCCAAAACAATGTGGATACTTCTACCGAGTTCATCTCAAGAATCAAGATGTGACAGTGGATGTGCATGTAGAGGGGTTTGTGACCCTCCTGACTGTGGACTACATGCAATACACATAAACTCAATCAATGGATTGTAGAGGAGTAATGGTGGGTCCGGTGAGCTCAACTCTGGAGGTTAAGTTCGCAAAATTAATAAATTTCCTTTTAATATGGGTGTATATGGTTCCAGGGATTAATTTGACGCAATGCCTCGTAGTGACACGCCCTATTAAGGGGCAACACACGTGTCAGAAGGTATAAAATGGGAAGCAGTTCCTGAATTGGCACGAGCTTTTACTTTTCGGATGACTTCCTCATTTTGTTTCATACCTCATTTCCTTTGCCGCCATGAGGTGCTAAAGTTTTAGCAGAGTCGGGGGCTTCCAGCCCATAGATGTGACTTTTCATGATTATATGTAATAAATTGTAATAAAGTTACTATCCACTTCAACACTTGACTCTTGTCGAGAATTTTATTTCTTTGTGTGGACTTTGTTCTTCTCTGGAACGCGATTTGGGCAGTGTGATAGGCGGCCACCGGCCACTCAGTTGCCGGGGCTGTTTCATATATAAAGAATGTGTGAAGACAAGCGACTGCATTATAAGCTCAGCATGATCAGTAACATTGATTCCTTTTATGAGGAAATTTAAATTTTTGTTCCTCCCAACCATGAGTTGTACATATTCTTTGATTCGGGTAGAGGTTGGTGAAGAGGGATAGGTGCCCCATATTTTGTATTGTAACAGGTTTTGTTTTCTACATAAGGAGACAAGGATAATATAGTAATATATCACCTATATCAACACGATGAGCAAGACGGCGAATGAGGCGATAGAATGAGTTTAGAGAGGGTGGGGAAGGAGGATCGAGAGAATAGAAGGGGACGAGGTGAGAAGGAGACTGAGTGTGGAAAACAGAATTGGAGGGGTAAAGGAGGGCGGGAGCAGGAGGTAGAAGAGAGAGGTATATAGAGTAGAATAGGGAAGAAGGGAGGAGATGGATTGAGTGAGGAAAAAGAGGATGAAATGGGGAAGAAAATGGAGGAAGGGCTAGAAATGAGTGGGACAATAATAATGATATATGCCCGATATATGATGTTAGGCTGAAAGAGGAGGAAGGCCAAGAAATGGGAGGTGATATAATATACAATGAGGAGACTCTGTGAAAGCAGGGGGAGAAAGAGGAATTAATGGGGGGGGGGGGGTTAAAGGGGAACAGAAAGTAGAGGAAACAGAGAGGAATGGTGGAGCTGAGAGAGCGAGGTGAGAGAGGGGCAGTGGCGGATCCGGGGAGGGGGGGGGCCGTCCCTTCAAAAATAAAACGTGTAACAACACGTCGATTTAACCTTTTGGGGAGATGCCCCGACCCCCCCCCCTTGAGCACCAAGGGGGGGGGGGAATTAAGAGGGCCCCCCCCCAAAAAAAAAAAAAAAATGTGGTCACTACCCACTAAGGGGAGGATAAAGGGGGAAAGTAGAGGAAAAAGAGAGGAACGGTGGAGCTGAGAGAGCGAGGTAAGAGAGGGGCAGTGGCTGATCTGGGTGGGGGGGGGGGGGGCCTTCGAAAATAAAAATGTAAAAACACGTTAATTTTACCTTTTTGGGAAGATGCCGCACCCCCCCCCCCCCCCCCCCCCCCTTGGCGCTCAAGGGGGGCGGGGTAAAATTTAGAGGGCCCCCCCCCCCAAAAAAAAAAAATGTGCTCACTACCCCACTAAGGGGAGGTTAAAGGGGGAACAAAAAGTAGAGGAAAGCGAGAGGACAACGGTGGAGCTAATAGAGCGAGGTAAGAGAGGGGCAGTGGCGGATGTGGGGGGGGGCCCCCTTCGAAAATAAAAATGTAAAAACACGTTAATTTTACCCACCCCCCCCCCCCACGCCCCCCCCCCACGCCCCCCCCCCCTGCCGCTCAAGGGGGGGGGGGGCAAAATGAAGAGGACCCTCCCCCCAAAAAATGTGCTCACTACCCCACTAAGGGGAGGTTAAAGGGGGAACAAAAAGTAGAGGAAACAGAGAGCAACGGTGGAGCTGAGAGAGCGATGTAAGAGAGGGGCAGTGGCGGATCGGGGGGGGGCCGTCCCCCCTTCAAAAATAAAACGTGTAAAAACACGTTAATTTTACCTTTTTGGGGAGATTCCCCCCCCCCCCCTGGCGCTCAAGGGGGAGGGGGGGGGGATGCAAATTTTAGAGGGCTTCCCCCCCAAAAAATGTGCTCACTACTTTCCGCCACCCCCCCCCCCCACCCCCCACTGAGCGCATTTTCGGCTGGCGCGATTTTCAAATTTCCGGGAGCAAAAAGAAAAAAAATTGGGCCCCCACCCCTAAGAAATCCTGGATCCGCGCCTTGAGAGGGGAAGCAGGGAGACTGGTGGATCGAGAGAGGGACCAACATTAATAAGACGCGGAGAAAAGGGAGCGGAGGTGGGGAGAAGGCGAAAGGGGGCATTCTTTTGGATTTAAGAGGGCGGCCGGCCGGGTAAGGGAATAAGGGCGTATACTCCGTGGAGCGTTTAGGAAATGAGGGGAAATAAGAAGAGCTAGCGCAGGATAGTGAAGGGAAAGAGAGAGGGAGAAAGAGCGCGTGCGGGTTGGAGGGAAGGAAGATTGAGGAGGGGGGGGGGGCGGGTGGCGGAATAAGCAGGCCGACTGGAGAATGAGTTGATGAAGGTTTGGGAAAAGGGAGTGAAGGAACTAGGGGAAAGGATTGGATAAACTGGGATTAACGGATAAGAGCGAATTAAAGGTATAGACGAAAGTTGGAGGAGAATGAGGAAGGAGAATGAAAGGGGAGAGAAGAAAGAAGGAGAGAGTGGTAAACAGAGAGCTAGAGAAGGGAAGCGGTAAGGCAAGGGGAGAAGGGGAGGGATGAGCAAGCAAACCGGCGGAAGAACGAGTTTAGAGAGGATGGGGGAAAGATGATTGGGTTTACGGCGAAGAGAGGGAAATGGCTGAAGGGGTGCATGGGGGGGGGGGGGGGGGCAGGGGAAAATCAAAGGAGAATGGGGATGAGGGATCGAGAGAATAGAAGGGGACGAGGAAAGAAGGAGAGACACTATAATACTCAGGTGATAAAGAGGAACAGTGCGTTACTGTGGCTACCGTAATCTGGATAACATTTAAGTAAGAGGTAATAGTCTACTCACAAGACGATTTTATGTTAATCGAGGGTCTATAAATAGGGGTAATATCAATGTATAGCTCTTTTAAAATGTTATACAATCGGCCTATGAACAAATGAAACTCCTAACTTCTCTACAACCTTTGTTTTGGTGATTAATTGGTACTCTTTACCGCTAGGTTCTTTTAAAGCTATGATCTTGCTTAATTCGTTGTTTATGCATGCATGAAGCATTGCCCCTACCCCCCTAAAAATATTTAAAAAAGTGAATTAAAAAAAGTTATGTCAGTGCCAACAAAATCTAAATCAATAAGTGAACATTAAACAACATGAACAACTGACACAGAGGAGCATGCACGCGTCTTATTTTATATCATTTATATTTTCATTGCCCATGCGATTAAAAATAGGTAAAGTCTGGAGTAAAGAAAACTCATCAGACCAGTGTATACTATCAGGGCGCACAAATTACTCAATCCTACAGTTCACTACTGTTCTATAAATCTAACCTAGGTGACAATAGTTCCAGTTCATTACCAGAGCAACTTTGTCACCTGGGTTTCAGATTACATATTCTGCTCTGATATTACTGAGCAACTTTGGGTAATCTGCTTCGATACTTTACTGTAACTGTATTGGTATCGGGTGATGATTATCCAAGTCAGAAAGCATTCCACGTTCTTATGTAGGGAAACCTGCATTCATCGATGAAATTAGAGTACGAGTACATGTATCCTATGGTAGGCCTACTTAAACATGTAGGTAGCACCGATATTATTTACCTCACAGACCTTAAAAGGTGTTACGCCACTTATGGTTGCCGCCAGGGGAGGACATCTGGACTGTGTACGCCTACTGATAGAAAACAATGCAGATATTGAGAAAGAAGATGCAGAGGGATGGACAGCCCTCCATTATGCTGTAACAAGGTGAACTGTTCATACAACAATTTGCATACTTTTAATGTACTACTTATTTTCCTCCAGTTATTGTACCACAATTTACTACTATGGTTTAATTGTAAAGTAACAATCATGACATCCGTTTTATCATCAAAGCAAAACAATTAAAAAAAAAAAAAACATGTTACTTCTATGGATCCCATTTTTTCGATCGGTTTATAAGCGGTTGCAGTGGAAATGTACTCTTGAAAATTAATGACAAGTAACCAAAAGTTCTGATACAATTACATGTAAACTTGTATTACAATAAAGGCATGTATAGTTTAACTAAAACCAACAAAAACATGATGCGAAAATGATTCGCCATATAAGATAATCTCATATAAGAAAATATGATTTCGTCCATGATTTCAGAATCAGAAAAATCAGAGAATCAGAAAATGTTCCAAATGTCAGTAATATATCCATTATGTGTATATATTTAAACATACACACATTTATATCTATTGTAATATGTTTTCTTGTTCTTTTACAGTGGGAATGAATCAATAATGAAGGAACTACTGGACCGGAGATCAATTATGAGTACGAGACTTTCTAAAAGAAGCCAGTCACCGATAAGTATTGCACTTAACTCTGGATATGCTGATACTGCACTGATTCTTCTTGATAAGGTACAGATTATTGTGTTTATTACTTTGACTTCTGTTATACAGTGCGTCCAAGAAAAAACGAAACCGAGAACTATCGATGTTTTATCTTGACGTAATCTCAATTATAATTTATAAATGACACATATTTGTAAAGCTTAGATCCTCTTCTTTCATTTGATGCAATTCGTATAATCCATATTTCATGCATGAGTGATTAAAATGAATTTGAAGAGAGGAAACCAAAAAGTCATTTGGCGGGCGGTATCTGAATTTCAAAGAGAAAATCACATTTCTAAAAAGTTGAGTTTCTGCCCTTTCATATGACACCTCAATCATGAAAAATGAGCAAGGAATGACAAAGTTATGTTTGTTTAAAGTAGTGCTTGTATTCGTTTTCACTGGCTGTCTGCTGTAGCAACAAACAGAAACAAAAGACTTAACTCCGTTTCGTTGACAATGATTGTCAACGAAACGGAGTTAAGTCTTTTGTAAATTCTGTTTGTTGCTACAGCAGACAGCCAGTGAAAACGAATTCGTTTGATAAAAATATGGAAATGCAAGCACTACTTTAATCAAACAGAACTTTGTCATTCCTTGCTCATTTTTCATGATTCTCATGCCATACGATCAGTACTACCGTCACTCATATTGTACATCACCCCACTACCTCTACTACTTACACTTCGTCAACCCCCCCCCCTCTGTTCTGTTATTATGCCTGATAGTACTCATACATTTTTTATAATGGTTATAAAAAGCCAATAGTATATACATGAGTATT